GTGCACCAGAGTCGTATCGACTGGTAGTGCATTTGGCTGAACATGGAACAAAGCCGTGCTCTAAAATGTTGCTTTAACAAAATATTTTGTTTGACCTCTTCCTCTTCCACTTGTTGTGAGACTTTTTGTCACTTTCATAGAATAGTAGAGTTGGAAGGGGCCATGAAGGCCATCAGTCCAACCCTTGCTGTTGCAGGACACCAAGTTACACCATCCCACTCAGATGGCTGCCCAGTTTCCTTTTGAATGTCTCTAGTATGGGAGAGCCCACAATCTCCCTAGGCAGCTGGTTCCTTGGTTGTATTGCTCTGACAGTGGGGAAGCTTTTCCTGATATCTAGCCTGAATCTGGTTTGTTGCAGCTTGATTATTCCATGTCCTACACTCTGGTATCAGCAAGAAGAGGCTTGCATAGAATTTGGTGCTAGTGAGAACTGTTCAGGCACATACAATATTCTGAATGAGTGCTGATTTCTAGCAATCAAGGAAACAAGCACTTAAGGTGAACAGAGGACTGCTATAGGAGGTGTAGTCCTTCCTTCTCCTCACACTGCATTGCAACTAAAACGATTCTGCACCTGGACCCATAAAGTGCGATGCCATGAGTCTGTGCAAGCCAGTGCTTTATCTCAGCTGATCCCTTTTGTGCAAAAGATGAAATGTTTGGGAATGGCCTCTCTCCCTCCTGCTTTCCACGACATTCCTCCCCTGCCAATGAGCATCCGTTCTCTCTTTTCCGTGTTATGTCCTGCAATACCATGGGGTGGCTATTTGCACACAGCACAGGTGATGCTTCCAGGTAATGTTCACGAGGTCGGGTGCTGGTCAGTCACTGGTTTTGATGGCCGCACTCTTTACAGTGCAACGTATGCACTTTTAGGATCAGTGCTGTCCCACTTGGAAAAGTGCTGGTGTTGCAATACTCAGAACACTTACAGTATTTCAGGGGGTTACTAGTTAAAGTTTTTTCCCATTACATTGCAAGTAGTTACCATGAGTTTAGGTTGCATTTCTGATGCAATTGGGTTCACATGTTGCAAAACTAAATCACAGCCCTAACCACAGTTCCGAAAGATGGATCAGAGAAAGGCCCTCACAGTTATAACACAAGAATAATTTTGCTGCACAGTAAGAAACTGCACAGTCTGAGGGGCTGCTCTGCAAGATGCACAGACCCTGGTGCTTTACCAAGGCTACTTTCGGCATCCCTTGCCTGAGGTTTCTTTCCAGGGATTTTCCTCTCTACCCTTTGATATGTCCTTGCACGTTCTATTATTCAACACTAGGTGGTGCTACAGTATAGAGCAGGATTGCAAAAATTCACTGAATTTCTGTAGCGAATCATGTCAGCATCCAGGAAAATGCTGCATGATTCCTGCAGTAAAAACACAGCGAAAATGGCTGGAAAACTTAGGAGAGGCCTTGGAAGGATAATGCCATCATGTGGAAGAGTGGCAGATTTGCACAAATGAGGCATCAGGAGTGCACAATAAATGCCTTGTGCTGAAGAGGCTTTTTGTTCGTATCTGTGGTTTGCTGTAGAGACGAGGGCTGGCAGCTAAGCTTCTCACAGTATCCTCATACAGACTTTGACCACAGACATAGAATAAACAAGAGAACCTCATTCTGCACCAGGAGCCAACTATTCTCCATGTACTCTTAGCAGCCCACCTGATTCACATGTCACAGCAAACTGTCTTTATCGCAAACCAGGAAGTGATTGAAAGGAGTCAAAATGCTTAAGAGGAGCAGGGAGAGTACAAGCTAGAGACACTGCCTGGATGGTGACACTTGGTTCTGTCCATTTTCTCAATTCATATATTTATTTTTAACATCTATGTATCTATCATCTATTTCCCTTTTTTCTCCAAGAACTAAATGTGGCTCACATGATTCCACTTCTCTCTGTTTTTAACTGCACAGCAATCCCAGTGAGTTTCATGACTGAGTGGGGACTAGAACCTGCATCTCCTGGATTCCCATTCCAGCATTCATGACCACTACACTATTGAATGCGGTTATATAATGTTTAGGTGTATTTCCCCTTACTGGGAACAATGGAATAAGTTTTCCCTAACTTTGGAATTCCATCATTTTGAGGCAATATCAAGACACTGAAATGATTTCAGAGCTACTTGCTGTAACCCCTCCCCCCATTATTACTTTCCACGTGTGCAGGGATGGGTGGGCAGATGGCATCCCCATCTATTGGCTGATGTGGATTTCTGTAAACGCGGGTAGCAAGAGCACGGCCAGGGAGGGGGTTGTGTGCAGCCTTTGCCTATCCGTACAGATGCACCATCTGTACTGGGACTACTTGTAAGGTGTGTGCCTTATAATGCTTTGTAAGCAATCATTTCAATATCCCAGGCCCTATATATAAAAAGGGACATCAAAGATATTATCACCTTGAACACCATGTTCGTGTTTGTGATGCCATTTCTTTTAGCTGTAGAGACATGGTTTTTCTAACAGCATGTCAAGCACCACTAGCACATTTCCATAGTCCATTCGTCACCTAAAATGTCACAGGATAGATTTTCTATTTTGGGGATGCTTCCGCTGCATCCTTAATCATTCCTTCAGGCCCCATTCTTTATTTTTACTTCTGATTAGATGATTGAGATTCACAGTCCTCAAATGTCCTTTTGGTGCAAAGATTCTTTCTAACCTGAGAAGAGCCTGTCTTACACAGGGAGGCTGCAGCGTCTGCTGCTGCAGCACCCTGGCACTCGAGGTCTTCTGGCCTGCCCATCAGTTGCCTGCACTGAAGTGCCTGATCCTGCCTACTCTTGGAAGCTAAGCAGGGTCAGGCCTGGGCAGAAGTGGGATGGGTGACCTGAGAGTATGATTCTATGATTATTGCTGTCAACTGCCTAGAGAGCTTTGGCTATGGGCAGTATAAAAATGTAATAATAATAATAATAATAAATGAATGGACTCTTTCATGCTCGTGGTAGGCATGTCATGAGTGGAGCCAGATGGAGCCTGGGGTCAGACTAGATGGCCCAGGAGGACCCTTCTGACTCTCTCTCTTTCTATGTTTCTATCTTTTTTCTTAGATCACCAGAGATCCTGTGCATGTGCAGAAAGGTGGATGCAGCATGGTGCTTCTGGTCAGCCAGAAGGCTGCCAGATCTTCTTTGGAACCAGTTCCGGTTTAGCCAGTCTGCCACCAGATGCTGTGTGTGTGTGTAGGGAGGGGGGGAGAACACAGCATGAAATGAGTGACCCCCCCCCCCCCAGAGGCTGGGGAAGGGGGGGGGCCCCCCCCCCCCCCGTAGGTTTTGGCAAGGTACAGCAGTGGCGGGAGTGAACAAACTTATCCTGCTAAAAAGCAAGGCTCTGAATCAGCAGGCCTTCAAAGATTTGTGTGACTTGTTTGGATGGGTAGGAGTGGTCATTCTGAGGTCAAATGTCTCCTGCATATTTCTTGATGGGGTTGAGTTATCCCTGGAAGGGCCCTTTCAGGCACAGAAGAAAGTGGTCCTGGAGATGCAATACGGTTTGATCTTTTTGGGTCACTCTCCACCAGGAAATTTTTCAGATGTGATGGGAACTGTATAAACAGGAAAACATGCACCATCAGAATTGGGAAGTTTTTTTTTTTCTTGGTAGGTTTACAGAGGGGACTTCCAGGAGTATTTTCCTACAAGTGGGGCATGAGGTATTAAGCTAGACTTATCCCTCCCTGGGGCAGGTAGGTATAGCACAATCCAGTTGGGATTAGGGTTGGTTAGCCTTCATGAGTACCTTTAGGCTGGGTGGCAATTCCAGAAGTTTCATGCTTGGGATTTTGCTGCGCAGTGTGGCAGGACGAGATGCTCTGAGGCCAGCTCAGCTCACCCCTCTGGAGTTTTGCTGCTTGGGGAGGCGGTGGGTGGGAAGGCCTCCTGTTATCATGAGGGTATCAACCTCCAGGGCGGCTGGTGGTCAACCACCACCTGGCAAAGGGTGGGTGGCCTGCCTATAACAGGAGAGTCACCTGCAAGAATAGCAGGCTGCAGCATCCCCTTCATCTGCACATCTCTTTTAAAATCATGTGCCCTTTATTCATCTTCCTTTACATTCACAAATGCCACTTCTTAGCAGATGGAGGCTAAGAAAAGGAAAACATTCACTAAACTCACTTTGTTAACGTTCAGAACCATTCTTAATAAGCAACCATTGCTGACATAGTCTACAAAATCTAAAATGCAACTTGTTGAATAATTAACAGAGTGCTGTGTTTTCTTTATTAAGAAGTTGCTTCCCACTGCCATGAATGGGACTTAACCCCTCAGTAGGCAAATATCACCCATATCACTGGCTCTGCCTGGCTGTATTTGCAGTGTTTCAGGGACGCAGTGATACAAATCTCTGAGCGCACTGACACAGGAGCTCTTAAGAGCCTGACTGATCTGCTGAGCGTTGCCACGTATTGCAAACTGCCAAGGGCACTTAGAGTGCCCTCCAATGTGGCTGCTCACACCCTCTCAACTCAGAGGATGCCGGCATGCAGTGGACGGTGGGAGAAGCACAGAGAAAGGGTGGCCTCCACACGACCAAAGTGCTTAGATGGCCAGTTTGGGCCTTCTATGTTTACCCCTCCTCACGAGAAGTGGGGACTGAGGCTCCATCACATCCTGCTGGAATATCACTCCTCCTTGAAGTATAATCTATCCATCTTTGGAGGTGGTGGTCATTTCAGGTTTCCTACATGGGGTATTTTCTTCCTGAGGAGCATGATCCAAGCAAAACAAATACACTGGGGCATTTCAGTAAATAGCTCCTTGACACCTTATGATGCTTACTGGACTCTGGAAGATGCGCTGTCCCCGCTCATCTCTTAATTTGGCACAACGTGTGTGTCTGAGAGTGGAGGACATGCAGAGGCTATTTACAACCAAGTGGCTTCAAACACGCAGAGATTCTTTTGCTGACAATTCCATTTTATTGATCGTACTTCTCCGTGAGATTTATACCTTGTCAAATAACAAAAGGTTCTCAGGACAGCTTAAATCAAAGGACTGAGCATCTTGTGAACATGAGTGATCTCAGAACGTCCTTCACATCTTTGTTCCACAGGCTATATATCAAGGGGTTCAGCATGGGCATAATAATGGTATAAAACATAGCGATCACTTTGTCCTTGTCTTGCGAAGACTTTGACCTTGGTCGCATGTACATGAAAAGGGCTGTCCCATAAAATATGGCTACGGCAGTGAGGTGGAATGCGCAGGCTGAGAATGCCTTGGCCCTTCCCGAGGTCGTTTTCATCTGCAGCACTGCTAAGAAAATGCAGGCGTAGGAGACCATAATCATTGGGAAGGGAATGAAGACTATGACGATGCTGAAAACGAACACTACCATTTCAGTGCTGGAGGTGTCAGTGCAGGCCAAAGACTGCACTGCTGGCACCTCACAGAAATAATGGTCCAGGATGTTGGGACCACAGAAGGGCAACTGCAGGACAAGAAGGTTGATAATCAAGGCGCTCATGAAACTGCTGCCCCAACAGAAGGCAGCCAGCTGAACACAGAGCTTCCAGTTCTTGATGGCTGCGTAAAGCAAGGGCTGACAGATGGCCACGTAGCGGTCGTAAGCCATGCCTCTGAGCAGAAAGCACTCTGCCATGCTGAGCGCCAAGGAGAAATACATCTGGATTGCGCAACCCCAAACGGAAATCATTTTCCATCTGGTCACAAGGTTCATCAGCATCTGGGGGACATTGGTGGTGGTATAATAAATGTCCAGGAAGGACAAACTGATCAGGAAAAAATACATGGGTGTATGAAGCTGAGAATCCACTGTGATGACTGAGACGATGAGGACGGCTGTGAGCCGCCCCGAGGCTTAGGCGAATGGGGCGGCATAGAAGTCCCCTAAATAAATAAATAATAAATAAAAACTGTGAGGAGGTAACCAGCCAGAAACACCACAAACAGCATCACTTGGACCTTTGGCTGATCAGAGAACCCCAGGAATATGAACTCAGTCACAAAAGTGCTATTGCTGTCATTCATTTTTATTTGTATTATTTAATCTGTGAGAAACAGCAGCAGATAAAGGGTGTTAAACCTTTCCCAGCTCATCCATGCCTGTTGAGGTTTGTGAGTTCCTTTATTCTTTCTCTCAGGCAGAAAAGCCTACCTCTCCCGGTGAACAGGGGCTGCGTCTGTGTTACTCATAATATCTGAAACAGAAACAAGACGTTCTAAGGCTCAGCTGTGAGTTCTTCTTCTGGAAAGGATGAAAGCCTACTATGAATTCATTTGATACCACTTGATGAATTTCCTCCACGTGAAGAAGGAAAGGAAATGGCTACGGTCACAAGCCAATGCCTGCTGCTCTTGGAGTAAGCCTCACAGAACAGAATATGGCACTTATTTCTGAGTAGCGGCTTTTCTATGAGAGGCATTTAGTATGCACCCATCACTCCCCACCCACGTTTGTTTATAGAGGCTTCAGACAATGCATGACACTCCAGGTTCACTTTTGTGCCTATCCAGCCTTTTCAGCCCGGTGCTTTGTTTTCAGAGCAGGGGAAAGGCAGCATGTAATGATGAAAGCAACTGTATGGAGGCTCCCACTAAGGAAAAGAAGGGGACTCATTCCCACCACATCCCTCTGCAGTCCCTAGCACTTCAGCAATCCTGTCTTGCAGGACACGGGACAGCAGGAGGAAGGAGGAATTGGCAAAACAAAGAAGCAAACAAACCAACCCCACCTCTACCAGTGAGGACATATTCATGTGAAATTCCATTCTGGGAAACTCTGGATCCAAGCGATATAGCATTTTATCTAATATATTTCTTACCTGCATTGCCAGCTTCAGAAGTCTGGGAGCCATTTGCACCTCCTCTGGACCCATCCCTACAGGCCAGGTTGCTGGGCAACCTGAAAATGGCACCTGCAGCACTGTGGAGTACCAGAATGTACCAGGACTGAATACTTGGCAAGCAAACTTGTCAGCTAGAGTTCCATGGGGGCTTCAAAGTTCTAAAAGAGTAGAATGGTCCTTTTTGGGACTCCACAGTGCTACTGACCCATTACTCCTTAAAGTGCCTTTTTAAAAAGTCAGAGGTAGAGAGTGGGAGGGGTGGCAGGTCCACATGTGGTCCAGAGGTTGCCCATGCCTGGAATATTCCCACATTCACTCGACCTGCTACCACAGGGCTGCATAAACACTTAAGAAAGAAGAGCTTTCATTTAAAATTATTGCAGCACCTTTCATCCAAGGATTCTGGGCAGGTTTATAGCAACTAAAACATTAAAATAAATGGAAGTTTTGGTTTTTCCTATAATATTTATTGTTAATTTTAATGTAAATTATATGATGTTCACCAAAGATACAAACACAACATCAAAGATACAAGCACAAGTAAATAACAGTACGAGGATTAATACGGTTAAAGGACTCAGAGATTTATCTTGGTAACCTTGGACTGTTGATAGCTTTTCTGAAATAAAGGAATCAGAAGCTCACAGCTCCAGCTTTCTCTTTTATAGAAGATGATTGCATACGGAACACTGTTGCTTTGGGATTGTAAGGACAGAGTGCATTGGAGTGACTGCCTACTTTTGCCAAAAGAATAAATGTGGAGGGGCACTAAGACTTTTCCTCATTTCCTAAGGTTAGGAAAATGTTATGTTACCTGGACGTCTACAACAGCCCTGATGCTTCCCAAAGAAAAAAACTGACTGGAGCTGAAGCGTTACCATCAAAGATCCATTCCCACTTCTTTGCTTTGTTACAAGAAAGTGGGAAGTCGAGATTGTAGGAAAGAAGGGAAGGAGCTTTGGGATTTAGCATCTCTAAAGGGTCACCTCATGATAAGCCTATTATGGCATGTGTGTTATGGCAAACAGCCAAAATGTGTTATAAGTGGCACTTTAATGAATAACACATTTATTGTGGTATATGTATTCATGGATTAGAGTGAATTTCAAAACAATATGCTATTGTACAAACATTATACAATGCTATATTGTATAATGTAGTATAATGGCTATATTATTATGGCCTTTTTCACAGTATAAAATTTTTGGATTTTTATTCATGCTTTTTATAAAGGTTATGTCATTACACCATATAGCAATTATCAATAGACATTTGGCAGGCATAAACCTCTCTTGAGGGGCTACTAGGCCCATTATTATTGATTAAAATATTATTGAATTCTGACCAAGAAAGAAAATATAGCCATTTTTGCATTTCTTGTGATAGTCAATGGAAGGCGCAAAGAATCAGATTTCTGAACTTCAGCTCAGATTTAGTACTGAGTTGGACTAGATCTGAATCCCAGTCAGTACTAAATCTGATCTGATCAGAAACAGCCCCTCTTCCAAAGCAGACCCAAGTCAAAACTGTGGACTTGACTGGAGTTGGAAATCAAAGCAGACCCAAGTCAAAGCAGACCCAAGTCAAAACCCAAGTCAAAACTGAGAGCCAGTGTGGCGCAGTGGTGAAGAGTGCAGGACTGGGACTCAGGAGATCCGGGTTCGAGTCCCCGCTCAGCCATGGAGCCAACTGGGTGTCTTTGGGCCAGTCACAGACTCTCAGCCCAACCCACCTCACAGGGTTGTTGTTGTTGTGGGGATAAGACGGAGGAGGAGATGTAAGCTGCCTTGAGCCCTTTGTAGGGGAAAGGAAGGATATAAATCACAATATAAATAAATCACAATATATAAATAATGGAGCAATCTTCCTGACTTAATTCTTTGTTGTTGTTGTTGTTGTTGTTGTTGTTGTTGTTGTTGTTACATGCATTAGTCAAGGAATAGTTTAACCCCGATCTATATTCAAAAGAATCTGGTTTGCAGGGGCTGAGACCCTTAGTTAAAAATGCTGGCCAATTTTAGCCCATCTCTCATGTGCAATTCACAGCTTCTCATGAAGTATTTCAGTGGGAAATATTTTGAGGAGCTGGTACCTTGTATTTATGTCTAGAACTAATAGTCCAATGCTAGGTGCTATCTATCCAGTCTGTGCTAAAGTGTCACTTACATCAATGTGCTGCCCATGACAGGTTTTCAGCCATTAGCTTAAGATCACAAGTTGTCCAGCCTGGACTGGACAAATTTTAGAGTCTGTGATGGACTAGCCAAGAAGCAACACAACAAAACTCTGGCACAGGCTGTCTGATGTCTCTCCTGCCCAAAACCATTCCAAAACAATGCTGCTGTGGCTTGCTCAGAAATTAGCTCTGGGGTACTAGGCTTCTGGTCATCACCAAGCAGTTTTGCTGGTGGGCCACTTCATGAAGAAGGGACTAACTAGAACATCAGAGGCAGTTCCACGGTCACTGCAATCTCCAAAAAGCACCTCTTGCCTCTAGTTGGCAACTGAGGGCTCAAACAATATTATGTCGGCTACTAGTTCTCAAGTCCAAGGTTGGTTGTTGGTAAACTCTCAGATCTTCTTTTTTCTGGAGGTAGATATGTTCTGATTTAACATACCTTGTTCCTTATCATGGTCCCTGATGAGCTTATTCTTTAGATCTTTGTGCTAGAACACACGCAGGACTGGATCCGGTATAAGCCTCCCACAGCCAGAAGGACTCCTTCCACTGCTGTGGAGCCTTTGCTCCGCAGTGCCTTTTTGCTTGCTGAAATGAGGAGGCAATTTTTGCTGGTTTCCCTGCCTTCTGTGGTCGTTTCCTATCTCAAAAACCTGCTCTGCCACCTGGAATAGAGGGGGAAGTGCGGCTGTGGGCTGCAGAAGGAGGGGAAGCAGCAGCAAACATCACTGTCGCCTCCCCTGTCGCCTCCACTAGGGGGCACCCCTCTGGCCAGGTAGATAAAACTCTGGCTCTAGTGCACTGTTTTCAGTTGGACCTACCCATAAATGTGGTGAACTTGCTCTTGATCCGGTTATGTGGAAACAGGAAACTGTGCCTGGAGTTGGAAATCAAATGCTATGATCGATGCTCGTTATGAGGATATAACAAGAAGATATACATAAACATGTTGAAAAAGAAAATAATGGGTAATATTTTCATTTTTCTGACACTTGTTCAGCATCCACAGATCTTGACACATTGAAAAAGATATCATAGTTCTTCACAAAACTGAAATTGTGCCCTCTTTTTTATTTTATGGATCCGCTGATATGATTCTTTAACAAATTAAGCTCCTGATAGGCTATATCTATACAGAAATCTCATTCCATACAGACACCAGATGCAATGCCACCTCAGAATATAAGGCATATAGCTGATTCCTCCCCACAACTGTTTGAATGTAACACGCTCTGGGATAAAACTTCCTTGCCTATGACTCTTCTCAAAGCTTCCTTCCCCTCCTGGTTTCTCAGGCTGTAGATTAGAGGGTTCAACACAGGGATTGCAATGGTGTAGAGCACTGAGGCCCATTTGTCCTGATCTAAGGAGCAGCTTGATATGGGCCTCAGGTACATAAACATCACTGTCCCATAGAAGAGCGTGACACTGGTGAGATGGGAAGCACAGATGGAGAAGGCTTTATGACGGCCCTCCACAGAACGGATGGTGCCAAAAATGAAGAGGTAAGAGATAAAGATGACGAAGATGGTGCTGAATTCAATGAATCCACACAAGCTGAAAAGGAGGATCTCGCTCACATAGGTGTCAAGGCAAGACAATTCCAGGAGTGGAAGAATCTCACAGAAGAAGTCATTGATGATGCTGGAGCCACAGAAATCTAAGCTGAAAGTCAGGCTGGTATGGAACACCAAGCTGAGAAGGCCTGCCATGTAGGAACCCATAGCCAATACCAGGCAGACCTGCTTCGACATGATGGTGGTGCAATGGAGAGGACGACAGAGGGCCACGTAGCAGTCATACGCCATGGCCACCAGGATGTAGCATTCAGTGTCCACAAAGACCACGGAGAATGCAAACTGCGTGGCACAGCTGGTGAAGGAGATGGCCTTGCGTGTGCATAGGACGTCAGCCAGCATGCGTGGGCCAACCGTCAACTATGCAGAGGCGGCACAGGAAAAAATACATGGGTGTGTGGAGTTGCTTATCAGTGCTGATCAGGAGGATCATGCCCACATTTCTCACCACACTGGCCATGTAGATGAGAAAAAACACCACAAAAGGGGCGATTTCTAGGTCGGGATTGTCTGTGAAGCCCAAGGAAATGAACTCGGTCACCTGGGCATGATTGTCCTTGGGCATCTTGGCTGGAAGAGAGTATGAAGTGATGGGAGCAGGACTGGGAGAAGACCCCACTCAGGAAAACAATGCTCTGCAGCAGCAGAGGTAAATACTGGGGTGCCGAAAGGGGGACGCTGCCTGGAGCTATTGCTAGGAAGCGAGCTCTTTCCACAGTGGTGTCCCCTTCAAGTCCCATCCTTCTGCTGCTATTATGACCAGAAGGGAGCCTAAGCTCTCGCATGCTGTGCTTCTTCCTAGAGAAAAGAAAGCAGTTCTTATTTTAAGCATGATAGCACTATGAAAAGAAGTAACAGAATCACAGGTTTCTATTCATGACTGCTTCCATATAAAGTAATCCTTCATGAAAACAATACAGAGTATGTTGTTCCATACTAGAGGCAGCTCTACACGCTCTTCCATTTCTTGACCAGCTTAGGACAGGAAGGACACTATCCTATCTCTGTTTACACAGAAAAAAGCCCTACAACTCCTAGCATGTAACTGGCAGGAGAATGCTGGGAGATGCAGGATGTTTTTCTCTCCAAACACACACACACTCCCTATATCATCCTTCTTCTGTCAGGTCTGCATGTTATTGTCATTGTACCTGAAAAATAAGTAGATCTGCAGACGAGAAACCCAGAATGCTCGCCCTTTGAAGTTCTGCGGATGCATTTCTAGAGGAGTGCCCTTTGGGGACGCTGAGAGGAGATCAGTTCGATCCAGAATACAAGCACTTGATTTAGTGGGGACAACTGGATTGTCTTTACTGAGACTGGTTAGTGTTATTTCAGCCCAGTCTTCCAAATGATTTCCCAGTTATTGCATGTGCGAAGAGCACTGGCTTGCAGTGACTGAGGATCAGGTGCACTGAGATCAATAAATATATGCCTCTTGCCGTCCTCTAGTGCAGTTCTGGCTCGGGACATTTCGGTTTCTTCCCAGAATGGCTATCATCCCTGAGACCCAAGCAGACTTTTGCTGTCCTTCAAGCTCCCCAGCTGGGCCCACTTATGACTTTGTACCACCTGTGGTAGATCTCCTCACCCCCTTGTCCCCCCCACCTCCTCGCTGGCCTTTAAAGCAAATCTTTGCTCTTGCATTAGGGACAGCAGGGCAGCTGGCTGCTCAAGGACAGGACTTTACAGCACTGGAATGGCCGTTCTCACTCTTGGAGCAAAGTGATGGCACTGCAGGGGTCCTTTGGGGCCACCTTACCTGCAGGCCAAGAGGCCACCTCCTTGCAGCAGAAGCACCACAGTTACACTGTATTTGCTGCAATGGGAAACACAGAGGTGGTGGGAGTCCATGGAAGGCTGCCAGGCAGCCGCAGTAACCTGGGGGCACAGAAGTTGTGTGGCAAGAGCTGACATGGCTAAGAGTGCAGGACTCAGGAGATCTGGGTTCTAGTCCCCACTCAGCCATGCAACCCAGCCCACCTTATCTCACTGGGTTGTTGTCACGAGGAAAAAATAAAGAGAAGAGAACTTTGTAAGCTGCCTGGTGTTCCTTGCAAGAGGAAGAAAGACACCATGTAATAATAATAATAATAATAATAATAATAATAATAATAATAATAATAATAGTGGTGGTGGTGGTGGTGGTGGTGGTGGTGGTGGTGGGCAGCCCTGTAGGAAGTGGACAGGCAATCATAAAATCACAGAATTGTAGGATGATAGAGTTGGAAGGAACCAAGAAGAACCATCAGGTCCAACCCCCTGCCCAGTGCCACCTGCTAGTATAATCTGCCACCACTCCGGATCTCTTGGCAGCTCACACAGGTCATTGTAGCTCACGGTAAGGCCATCCCTTTTCCCCTTCTAGTCTCTTAATTTTGCAAGAAAGATCCACCATGCACCAGTGTGTGCTGTGATTGAAAGTGGGCACACTGAGAAGCAATTGCACTCACCTGTCACTATACACTGAGCTCTGCTTGGATCCATTCAATAGAACTTCATTATCAGTTGAAGTATCAGTTCTGTTAGTAAGTCCTAAATGTGTTCCTTTACTAGTGGGGAAGGTGACCTCCAAATACCAGATTGCTTTCTCACAACTAATGCATTGATCATCAGCTCATGACTAAATAGGCCTCTCTTTATTTCAGAATATATATGTCTGAGTCAGAGTCAAACAAATTCTGATATAGAAGAAATATCTTGTTGAGGGTGGGGGGGTGAGTAGGTAAAAATTTTGATGGGTTAAACACTTCCTCCCAGTGCCACAGCCCTAAGGGGAGATCTTTGCATGCCTTGATGGTGTTGCTAGGGGACGCAAAAGATGACAGGACATCCCACACAATACACCAGTGGAATAGTGGTTAGAGGCCCAGGACTCAGCAGACCTGGGTTCTAATCCCCACTCTACCATGAAGCTCACTGGCTGACTTTGGGCCAATCATGGACTCTCAGCCTGACCTACCTCACAGGGTTGTTGCTGTTATGAGGATAAAATGGAGTGGAAGAGGCTCTTCTGCTCCAACATCCTCTGGGTTACTCACTCTCTGAGGCTTATGAGTTCCAACAGCTAACAAGGAGGCAGGAATGGGCTAACCCCTGATTTTGAGTATACTGAAACCAGCTCTGTCATTTTACTTAGACTAGCCTTGGAAGAGGCCAGCATCATGGAGACTTAGGAACTGCTCTGTCTCTTTGCTGCCCACCTCTCAGCAATGACCGCCATTCAGGAAATTCTTCCTTGACATTCAAGGGCACCTAAGCCAGTATTTTAAGCAAGGAGAAACCTCTAGCACGGACTTCTTTTTGTTAATTACAATTAAGTAGAAAATGCAAAACCTTGAACTTCCTTTCTTCCTTCAGAGCTCTGATCTCTGGCAACACAAACCCTTGCTTTATGTGCCGCTTACTCACTTTATACCTGTTTCCCACCTGAAGGCATAGGCAGGAATCTTCGGTCCCTGCTCTCCATCTGTCAGATGCTCAGCCCAGTCTTTTCCGTTCTCGCTCATCTCCTGAAGAGCATCAGCTTGGCAAGTCGCAGAGCAGTGGCACTTCTTTATTTAGCTCAGATCCCCAGATGACTTGATGCAAAGATTGCATTGCTTGTGAGAAACCAGGGCAAACATATTTCCCAAAAGGTCTCCACCTTGTCACTCCCCACCTTACATCCTTACGGAGATAATTCATGATGCTCATATTAGTTTCTCTTTGTCTGGAAACTTTTCCCAGCCAGCTTTGGTAGCCAACTTTGATAGACAGAAAGTTATTTGCAGAACTGACAAGGTTCCCAAACTGGTTGCAATCAGCATTCTCAGCTAAATGGGGACAGCACTTTTGAGATGTTCTCACTTTCTTTTGCTTTTGGACTTCTTCTAGTTTCAGAAATTGGCATCTTGTGTCAGATTCTGTACTCTGCAAGAAAAGTGGTGCTAAGATACATCTTTTCTGCCATAGTCACTGAAGCAAGGACCAAATGGACCCCAGCAAGAGGCCATCTTTGAAATGGCATTCAGTAGCTGTGCCTCATGAGGTCATTTCAGTGTGAAAGTCTAAAATGATAATTACGCTCTCTTTATTGCAAAAACAATGCAACCTCCCATGTTTCCCTGTAATCTGAGTAGGCAATGAGGCAGAGACCAAGGAGGGGGACATATTTAATCTTTTTGCTGATTTCTCTAGGGTTGCCATGGATGCCCATTTTTAAAGTTTCATATAGATCATAGAATCACAGAATAGCAGAGTTGGAAGGGGCAAGAAGTATTGCAGAATACCAAGTTACACCATGCCACTGGGATGGCTGTCCAGTTTCTTTTTGAATGTCTCTAGTGTGGGAGAGCCCACAACCTCCCTGTGCAACTGGTTCCACTGTCATATTGCTCTGACAGTGAGGAAATTTTTCCTGATATCCAGCCTGAAGCAGGTCCAGCAGCTTGAGCTGATTATTCCATGACCTACATGCTGGTATCAGCAAGAAGAGATCTCGCTCTTGTCCTTCCTCTTTGTGACAGCCTTTTAGGTACTTATAGTGTGATATAATATCTCCCCTCAGCCTTCTCTTCTCAAGGAAGAACATACCAGTCTCTCCTCATGGGGCAATGTTTCCAAATCCTGGATATTTTTTGTTCCCCTCCTCCAGAACCCTTCTAATTTTTCTGCATCTTTCTTGAATCTTGGTGCCCAGAATGGGACACAGTATTCTTAATGAGGTCTGACTAGAGAAGAATATAGGGGAACTATTACTTCTCAGGATCTGGAAGTAATACTTCTATTAAAACGGCATCCCAAAACAGCATTTGCCAATTCTGCTGCTACATTGCATTGTTGGCTCATATTTAGCCTGTTGTCCACAGAAACTCCAGGGTCTTTTTCTACTGTTGAGCCACATATCCCCCATCTTGTATCAATGCATCTGGTTTCTTTTGCTAGGTGGAGGACTTGTCATTTGTCCTTACTAAATCTCATTCTGTTGCTTTCAGCCCACCCTTCAAGCTTATTTAGATTGCCTTGGATCCTCTCTTGGTCTTCCAGGGTGTTCAACAATCTACGAGTTTTGTAGTGTCTGCAAATCTGATTATTCTTCCTTGTACTTCCTCATCAAGATCATTAATAGATATGCTGAAGAGCACTTGGCCTAGGACTGAACCCTGTGGCACCTCACTAGTTACCTTGTCCAGTTATAGAAGGTGCCGTTGACGAGCACTCTTTGTGTCTGATTTACTTGTCGAATTTGGATCCACCTAATAGTCATTCTACATAGTCCACATTTTGCTAGTTTGTTTTTCAGAATGTTGTGGGGCACTATGTTTTTATTTTATTTATTTATTAAAACATTTTTATGCCGCCCCATTCGCCGAAGCCTCGGGGCGACTTACAACAAAAAATTAAAATAACATTTTAAAATATATACAATAAAATACAAATATATAATATAAAACATACACTATAAAACAAGCCGCCCTGGCCAAATAAAATTCAATAATATTAACATTTAAAATACTGCTTAAATAAAAAGGTCTTCGCCTGGCGCCGAAAAACAAATAAAGACGGCGCCAGGCGGACCTCTCT